AGTTATCTGCCAACTAAAAATGAGGGTTATGTTTTAATAATTTTAATGAAATTTTAAACCTTTCTTTTTTCCTCTCTGTCTCCGCTTCCCTTTTTCTCTACCTCTTTTCCTCCCCCTCTCTCTCACTGTCTCTCTCACCTCTTTCTCCCTCTATCTCTCCCTCTCTCTCCCTTTCTGCTAGCCCAGTAGTTCTCAATGTAAATAAAATACATCTCTATAACAAAGAGAATAATTATCAAATTATTGGTGCTACCATCTCTAGCAATAGAAAATTGTTTACTTGTTTTTGAAAAGGTACATTCCCTATAGATGAACCAATATTTCATTTTAAAGTCACTGTACAAGATTTTGTGCATCAAGTCCCAAATTCAGTAATTTAGCCAGTAATTACTGGGAGGCATGATTAAAGAAAAGCTTGAAATAAACATAACCCTCATTTTTAGTTGGCAGATAACTATTATTTAAAACAATGTTTTAAGAGTCAGAAAACAGCAAAGTGAATCCAGAAACAAAATGGGAACTGATAATCAAATTCTATAATGAAATTCTATTATATAATGAAATCCTAAGCAGTTCTCAAGGCACTTGCTTAATGGATATGTTTGCCCTGTGAGCTAAGAGAACTTGCTAGAAGTAAGGAGAAGTCAGCTGAATGAAAAAGGGGATAGGAATCTTGATGATTTTGAGTAGCTGTTCCTGCCACACTTAAATTTTCAACAGAAGAAATGAGAACAAAAAACCACCTGTTTATATACTTAATATTTTTAATGGAGATAAGCAAGTTTATATAAAATAGTGGCTAGCATAATTGTTCTAAAAAATCCACTTGATAAAGTCATTAAAGTGTAACAACTAACTTACTCTTGGTCATCAGGTAAGCCAGAACTGTAGTTCTGGTTTTCTTACATTTTCAGTGCTGCTAGCCCAGTAGTTCTCAATGTAAGCTGAAAAACTTAAAAATGCAGATTCCCTTGCCCCACCTCAGACTTGGGGAGTCAGCATGTCCACAGAGGAAGCCTGGGAATCTGTCTTTCTAGGAAGTTCCTCAGGTGATTTTGAAGTACCCTGTCTGCAGACCAGTCCTGGGTAACAGGGCAGCTAGACTGCGTCACCTATTTTTGTCTTGTCTTATTTTGTTTTGATTTTTGAGACAGGGTCTCACTCTGTTGCCCAGTCGGGAGTGCTGTGGTGTGATCTTGGCATACTACAACCTCTGCCTCTAAGCTCAAGTGATCCTCCCACCTCAGCCTCCCAAGTAGCTGGGACCACAGGTGTGAGCCCCCACACCTGGCTAATTTTTGTATTCACCTCACCTATCGTGAAAAGAAAAAAAAAGTAGGCTGATGTGAGGAAATTGTTTTGTGTCACTGCTAAAACTGCCAAGTGAGGGCCATGATGGCTGCATCTAAGCTGTAGGTACAGCCTACATGATCTAAGTTGTACCAGGATACATCATGGTATTTACAAAGAGTGTCCCTTTCAGTATATCCATGTTTAGAAAATTAAGCTGCTGAGTGCAGACGTATGCTAGGGCTCACATTCATCCTTACCATTATGAAGGTAATCCTGAAAAACCAGGGGCTTTCTGTTTTGTATTGTTTTATTTTGCTGCTGAGATACCTTGTGATTCAAATTGGGAGCCACGGACCCTGCACCTGGTCTGGAGAAGTGAGCCTCAGCAATGATAGAACAGACGGACCACCGGTATCCTGCGATCACCGCCCAGAGCCGTTCCATCACTAACACTGAGAGAAGAGACTCTTTTGTAAGCTGTCTGGCTGCTTTTTAAGAGGGGGTTAAGAGGAGGGGTTCTGAGAACACATGATCATCCTGGTTTTCTCAGTCTGGGGATTGTGAAAGGAAATAATTCAAGTGAAATAAAAGGGAAAGCAAATTGTAGTTATTAGTAGCCAGACACATGGTTGTACCTAGATAGAGCTTCAAATAATACCTTTTTGTAGTTTATAGTTGACCATATATCATGTTGAATTTTATAGTCAGTTAACAAAAAATGTGCTTCTCTTAAATTTCATGCCAGTTAAAGGGTTTTGGAGCCGATCACTAACCAACTACAGGACCTTTTAGGTAGAGGGGATCAACATTTCAGTGAAAAGCCTTTGACAGTGCTTTTTGGTGGTGCATTCAGACACAGCAGCCCTAAATTCTTGGATTCCTTTAGGCCAAATATAAAACCTCACATTGCTGTTTTTGAGCCAGGGACAACTGCCCATTCCCAGATCACACACAATCCACTAAGAATTTCATTTGACTCAAGTGAAGCTCTGCCTAATGTGATAGCCCTTGGAGCTGAACGGGAATTAAGGGCTGAAAACCACTCTTGTGAATCAGGTCAACAGTAGAGGAGTAGGGGCAGCCAGGACTGACCCAGAAGTGACAAGAGCTCCTCTTCCCCCAATATAAGAATATTTCTTTTCATTAAGTGAAAATAGCAATTGATTTAAAAAATGTTGAATATGATCTTTACATTTAAAAAAATTGGAGAGGACACATATTAAGATGTTAACACAGTAGTTATTATCTCTGGATAAAGGAAGTACAGAGGGTTTCTTTCCTGTGCCTCATTTTCATAATTTTTCTGTTGGAAACAGAAAGAATTTGTTTTCCTTACAGATTTCTATGATTTCTACATTATGAGGAATGTGTGTTAGTTTTATAATTATGGAAAAATCATTCTTTTTCTTTATTAATATAAACAGCATGTTTGTAAACTGGAGAAGACCTGTGGAAGTCTGATCGAGATGGTGAAAGGCTAAGTGCAAGAAGAAAAAGGAGCTGAATCTGTGAGAATCAGTGTTTAGTCCGGCAAACAGAACTCTCAGAGGGGCCAAGAGAATCTTCAGATTTTGAAGGGCTGCTAGCATGGGACGATGAATTACTATTTGCATAGTTTCAGAGGGAAGAACCAGAATCAGCAGGCAGAAATTACAAGGGAAAAAATTGTTCTCATTAGAAAGAAAAGGATCTAACAATCAGGAGCATCCAAAAGTGGAATGGACTGCCTGGTGTGGAAGTGCTGTCCTTTTTGGAAGTGTTTAAACTGAGGTTGGGTGACTGCCTGCCTGGTTTCCTAAAGAATTCTTAAATGATTGCGAGGCTGAGGTGGATGGATCACGAGGTCAGGAGATCGAGACCATCCTGGCCAACATGGTGAAATCCCGTTTCTACTAAAAATACAAAAAAATTAGCCGGGTGTGGTGGTGTGCGCCTGTAGTCTCAGCTACTCGGGAAGCTGAGGCAGGAGAATTGCTTGAACCCAGGAGGCGGAGGTTGCAGTGAGCCGAGATTGTGCCACTGCACTCCAGCCTGGCAACAGAGCGAGACTCCGTCTAAAAACAAAAAAAAAAAGAAAGAAAAGAACTCCACAAAACAAGCAGACAACCAGTCATTTTTTCATTGTCCAGGTGTTTTGAGGTGTTTTTTTCTTTTCCTTTCCTCAAAATGATTCAAGTAAATACAATAGAGGAAATGCTGACACTAAGATCTTGGCAAACTCCTTGTGTGTATCTGTTATTTCATATGTAAAATGCAGATAACAGTAGTACTTATCTCATAGGGTTGTCATGAGGATTAAACGAATTACTACATACAAAGCATTTGGTAGAGTGCTGACACATAGTAATCATTAGATATGTTAGGTGCAATATTTTTCATTGTAATTATTTTTAAAAACTTTTTTTCTAGGTTCAGGGGTACATATGCAGGTTTGTTATACGGGTAAATTACACGTTGCAGTGGTTGGGTGTACAAATTATTTTGTCACCCAGGTGATAAGCACAGTACCCAAGAGGTAGTTTTCTGGTCCTCGCCTTCCTCCCTCTCTCCACCCTCAAGTAGGCCTTGGTGTCTGTGGTTCCCTTCTTTGTCTCCATGTGTACTCAATGTTTAGCTCCCACTTATAAGTGAGAATAGGTGATATTTGGTTTTCTGTTCCTGTGTTAGTTTGCTTTAGAATAACGGCCTCCAGCTCCATCCATGTTGCTGCAAAGGACATGATCTCGTTTTTTATGGCTGCATAGTGTTCCATGGTGTATATGTACCACATTTTCTTTATCCAGTCAACCATTGATGGGCATTTAGGCTGATTCCATATCTTTGCTATTGTGAATAGTGCTGCGATGAACATACCTGTGTCTTTATGGTAGAACAACTTATATTCCTTTGATAGAACAACTTATAAGAACAACTTAGAATCCAATAATGGGATTGCTGGGTCAAATGGTAACTCTGTTTTGAGTTCTTGGAGAAATCACCAAACTGCTTTTCATAAATTAAATCATAATGTGTAATTAATGTGCTACAGGGAATTTGGTGAAGCAAAAATTTACACAGCTATAAGCAGCAAATTCTAGACGGTAGAAGGGCATGTTAGGGAATCAATACAGTACTCTTTATAATAGTTTTTGATTACAACATATTAATTTCCCAATGAAGGAACGGGCCATTCTACGATTTTAGAATGTAGTGGATGAATATGATGTCTGGCTTTTATACTTACTTCTCGAGTTCCTTACAGACACTTGACGGTTCAGTTAATTGCCACGTTTTGCCTTCCCTGTGATATGATAAGCAGAAGAGCCCCAGCCCGGTGCAGTGGTCACGCCTGTAATCCCAGCACTTTGGGCGGCCGAGGTGGGTGGATCATTTGAGGTCAGGAGTTTGAGACCAGCCTGGCCAACATAGTGAAACCCTGTCTCTACTAGAAATGCAAAAAAATTAGCTGGGGATGGTGGAGCATGCCTGTAATCCCAGATACTCTGGAAGGTGAGGCAGGAGAATCACTTCAACCTGGGAGGCGGAGGTCCGGGTGAGTCGAGATCACACCTGCACTCCAGCCTGAGTGACAAGAGTGAGACCCCGTCTCAAAATCAAACAAAAAACAGAAGAGCCCCAGAACAATACATGTTTTTCATCACATAATAAAATACACTAATACATTAAAACTGCTTTTTCTTTTTTGCTTTTTCTAGTTTTTGTTTTACCTGTCCTCTGAGGCAGTTGGGCGAGTAGTCGTTTGGAGGGGGGTGTGCAATTCATTAGAGTAAAAGGTGTTGGACAGTATGTCAGCTCCTTCAAGCTCCCTGCAACAGTAGGGCCTGCCGTGAATGACCTCCATGCTTCTTGGCTAAAAAGGCACAACCTGGAAAAGTAAAGGAGGGGACATTTGGCTTGTCGACTCAAGGCAGGCAGAAAACACATTTTACACTGTTAAATTGTTCAACCTGACGCTGCACAGAAATCACAGGCTTCCCTCTGCACTGAAAGCGGTCAAATCAGTAATAGAGACCTAAATAAGTTCTATGGAAATGAATTTCAACTGAAACAAATCCACAAAGTGGAAGGTGCCTCCAATTAGTCACCATAATGACCATCCAGTAGGTTCGCACCAGTCCGCTTTGTGGCTATCAACTGAAATTCAATTCCTGCCTCAAATTTAACTATAACTATTCAAGAAAACTCAGTTGACTTTTAGCCTGTGGTCTTTCCGAAAATTAGAGACTCTTCATTCAACAGAATAAGAGCTGTCCTAAAGGCTTCGGGGATTCCAGACAAGAATCCCTTTGCAGATGGTGGAGTCAAGGGTGCAGCACGAACGGGACCCTAAAGGGGATTCCAGGTTTCCACTGCGTCGGGGAGAATCCCACCTCTCCCTCGGACTTGGGGGAAGGCTAGGAGGCGGCGTAGCTGGGACCAAGGTGTGCCGGGGGCCGAGGCCGAGCCTCGCGGGCTGTCATCGCCCTGCGAGCGGTGCCTCGGGGGTCTGGACACACCTGAGACATGAGTCTGGGGGCGCTGCGGGACCGCCTCCCCTCCGCTCCCTGCAGCTGGCGGCCTTCGCTGGCCGAGGAATTTTGAGGTCGTCCGCACCTGCGGCCCGGTGGAGCTGGCAGGCAGGGGCGGGGGCGGGAGAAGGACGGCGGGCAGGCCGGGGTAGGGTGGGGCTGGGGGCGCTTGTGACGGTAGCCGTGAGCGCGGCACTAAGTGATGCGTCCTTGAGGGGCTGGGGGCTTCCGGGTGGCGGGCGGGGCGCCGTAGGCGGCTCTCAGAGACCTCGGAGGAAGCAAGCCCAGCGACGCGACACTGGCAACAACGCCAAGAAGGACTGAGAGTGAAGAGAGCGGGAGGCGCTGGGTCAGAAGTGAGAGGGGCTCTTCCGCCTTGCGGCCGCTGGCCCCGCCTCCCGGTCCCTTGCCCCGCCCCTCTCGGCTCGCCGCCCTGCCTCCTGTAGGACACCGCCTGGCCCCACCCGCGCCTCGCCCCTAGGCGCCCTCTAGCGGCGGCGGCGATGGCGATATCAGTTTCTTTTTCCAGGGCTTCCAGGTCTGCAGCTGTCTCCTGGCCGGCCACGGAGTGTTCTCATGTGGACTGGGCGGAGGAAGAACTCTGGTCCAGTGGAGTCCCTGGTGAGGTCGGAGCATGCGACCTGTCCTCCCTCCCCAGGTCACCTCGCAGGATTGAGGACAGTGCGGCCAGATCGAGGGTGGAGTCTGCAGGATTTTGAAACTGCAGCCCCCTCTGCTCCTTGCCTGGTGGGTGCGGACGTGGCAAAGTCCCTTACTTGCCTCGTCCCCAGAGCCTAGCCCCACCTTGATTATCTCAGTTTCCCCAAAAGATACAAATGTGAGCCACGTCTCTGCACCTGCAGGGTCATGACTTCCTGTGATGGCTGAGAACAGGGATGTCACTCCCCTCCCCACTTGCCCCTCCCCCGCCCCATCAAGGAATGGGATGTGGGGAGGTTAGGCTCTGTGTATGATATGTGTGATATGGTAAGGCTTTGTGTCCCCACCCAAATCTCATCTTGAATTGTAATCCCCATAATCCCCGCATGTCAAAGGAGAGACCAGGTGGAAGTAATTGGATCATGGGGGCAGTTTCCCCCATGTTGTTCTCGCAATAGTGAGTGAATTCTCACGAGATCTGATGGTTTTATAAGGTGCTCTTTCCCCTTCTCTTAGCACGTCTCCTTTCTGCCGCCTTGTGAAGAAGGTAACTGCTTCTCCTTGGCCTTCTGCCATGATTGTAAGTTTCCTGAGGCCTCCCCAGTCACGTGAGATTGTGAGTCAACTAAACCTCTTTCCTTTATAAATTACCCAGTCTTGGGCAGTTCTTTATAGCATTGTGAGAAAAAACTAATACAATGTGGGAGGCTAGAACTGAGCCTGCAGGAACCAGAAGGTGAGGGTGAGAATGACAACCTCTGAGAAGAAGGGGGTTGAAACTGTGTGCCAAAGAGTTAAAGAAAACAGTCATAGAAATTCTTGAGTTTACAGGATGGCAGATAAAAGAAACAAATTGCTGAAATGCTGAAATGCCTGGGCTTGTAGGTTAATAAAACTGGCTGAAATCCATTGGAACCTATAAGGCCAACTAGAGTCTGCACAGACCCAGCTTGCTGACCTTACAGCTGAATTTCTATGGCATGTTTCATAGTAACTCCTCACTGAATTTGCACGTGGAACCCTTAGGTAGCATGAAGAGACGGGAGCACATGCCCAAGGACTTCCCAGACTTCCTCTTTCCTTCCACTGCGCACCTGCTAATCCCGGAATCCACACTCAAAACCATTTCTAATAATTGCCCTAACAGGGAGACAGATTTGAGCTGGACTTCCTATTTCTTTGTAGGTTGACATGCAATAACAGTTTTTATTTTATCAAAAACCCAGTGTTACAGTATTGACTTCCAGTGCCTTGGGCAGCGAGCCTCCTTTGCTTGGTAACAGTACGATGGTGCCTTTCCCATTCTCTGCCTACTTTACAACTTTTTACTAACCAACCAGTGGGCATTCATTTTGTTCTGTGCTTTCTATGTGAGTGTTACCTGGAGTGGGGGAAGAAAGGTGTATTGAAGTAGGCACAGTGGTAATTTTGTAGTCTTGGTTTATTTCTTAGTTCCCGCATCTCTGCCAGCCTTCCAATAGTTACCACCCACTAAGCCTGGAGGAGTAGATCCTGCTGGAGACAGAGTTGTGCATTAGGTGAAATTGGCTTTTATCTTTGACATCTTTATTTCCCCTCCAATTTCTGGTAGTTCATTGTAAGCTTTTGTCCCTTTTCTGCTCCTGTGTGTTCAGGATCTCCCATTAAATTCCTTGTCTCCCCAGCCCACTTCATGTCCCCAGTCTTCCAGTACTTTCCATACTTCACCTTTTTCTCATCCTCAGCCTTAGTCCTATTTTCCTATGGCTTGATTCTTCCTGGGAGGAGTAACTGAGCATGATAGATTTAATCAGAGGCATATGATGAAGATGCATCATTAGCCATGTATGTACATGGATGGTGGTGACACCGGAAAAGGTGTGTCAACTCCAGGTTGAATGATCAGGATATGTGGTGATAGCCTCCAGGTTCTAGGGGGTTTGAAATTTTATTTTAGGTCAAATAAGTGTAAAAGGAAGAAAAATGTAATTATTTTTATCCTTATCATTTTTCAAATAAAATTTACAGGCAAGAAAAATTCATTGTCAGATCATTGTGAAACAATTGTTTTCTTTGAAAATGCTTCTCCATCTGAAATTCTCAGGGATATCAGGATTAGGTCTATTCGTTTGACCAACACTCTTTACTCTTAACTTTTGTGATTTAACTCACTCCATCTCAGCCAGCAGGTGATGTGGATGTGACCTCAACAACACACAGTAGCCTCCTACCCAGGGATGCTCAAGTGACTGACTTCTTAGGTATAACATGGCCAGCGGGTCAGTAGCCTCAGATTGCCTTCTTTTGACTTCTCACATGTCAATCTTGTCACTACCTCAGTTTGCTAGTAGTCCTTCAAGCTGGGAAGATGAAATTTGGTAATGAAAATAATATATGCTTAGAATACTGTGGGTTGATGATAGTTCCAAGTCACAGTTAGACATTTCACCTTCAGGTAAAGAATAAGTGGGAAGTAGATAATAACAGAAAGCATGACTTACAGTCTATAAACTTTCCTTCAAATCTGTTATAGAGACCAGTAAAATGAATGAAGAGACTAGTAAAATGATTTTTTTTTTTTTGAAACAGAGTCTTTGTCGCCCAGGCTGGAGTGCAATGGTATGATCTCGGCTCACTGCAACCTCTGTCTCCCTGGTTCAAGCACTTCTCCTGCCTCAGCCTCCCAAGTAGTTGGGATTGCGGGCACTCGCCACCACGCCTGGCTGATTTTCTGTATTTTTAGTAGAGATGGGGTTTTGCCACGTTGGCTAGGCTGGTCTCAGACTCCTGACCTTAGGTGATCCATCCGCCTCGGCCTCCCAAAGTGCTGGGATTACAGGCGTGAGTCATGCACCCAGCCCAGTGAATATTTTTTAAGTGAAAAAAAAAATTTGGAGTCTGGTGCCTTGCTTAGAAGATGTGTTGGAAAGTGTCTCAGTAATGTTAAACTATGCATCTTTAAAAACTGAAGAACTTAAAACTTTGTTGATTTCAGTATATGTATCTTCTTAGTAGGATGACAATTAGAAGTATGTATATTCTGCTGGCTTTAAATTACAAATGAGTTAAATGACACTTTAATACTTTTTTGTATTAAATAATTTAACCTAAGTTCAGTACTTTAAATTCTTCTCAAAACATATTTTCTTTCTTTCATTGTTGTTTATTATAAAAACGCAATCAGCTTTTTTTTGTGGGTGTCATTTCAATTTTTTTCTTGAATAGAGTTATTTGTAAAGAGCATTGTAATCTCAACAGTCTTTATGGTTGTAGTCGTGCCAACTATGATCGATTAAATAAGCCTAGAAATATAATGTGCAGCACAAGGATTATAATTCAAAATATTGTGTTGCATACTAAAATTTTTCTAAGAATGTAGATTTTAGCTGTTCTCCCCCTCCAATAAAAAATTTACTATGTGAAAAACAATAATAATATTATTATTATTTTTGGCTTGAGTAGCTAAGGAACGAGGTGGTCATTTAGTAGTGAACACTGAAGTGACGTTGATGCACACATTTATAAAATGTGCTATTTAGTAAACAGTTACCAGTTACCTAGAATGCATCAGGGGTTGTCCTAGCACCTACAGTCTATGGGGACATGGAGCCGTGGACAGTTGTAATCAGTGAGGTAAGTGCTTGACTGGGGCCAGCACTCTTGCTGTAGCGGTACACAGTCTCCTAACCAAGATTCTTGTGCTTCTGATTTCATCCCCTTGGAAATGTCTGAAAAGAAATGTAAGGTTCTTCCATTTAGAAACATGATCGTCGAAACCCTTTAGCAAGGTGACCTGGCCATGTGCCCTTGGTTACATGCAGTTGTTTGTCCTTGTGACCTCCATGGCATCTTTCCATTTATCTTTCTTTGCATCTTCCCACATGGATATTCTAACATTTTGTCCCATGAATTTGAGTTCCTTCTGGGTAGCATTTTTCTTTCTAATCTTAAACCTCTGCTCAGAAGACTCAGTGATCAGTCTCTCTTCCTCTGTCATGATTCAACATCTTTGAACTGTGACCTATAAACAGATGGCCCCATGCACTATCCCTACTGTCTAGTTGAGTGAAGTTATGTAGAATATGTATTCCACATTAGGTATTAGGTTCCACTACTTAAGTTTCTTCTTCACTTACCCACACACACAGATATGAATTAAACGTGTATTGGATAGAGAGGGTGAGCATGGCACTTCCAGATGCAACTAACAGGAAGACATGCTGTCCCCCGGGGGCTCCAGCTGATGAGGACAGTTCCAGAGCATCCTGCGGTGTCGCATTCTGCACTCAGGGCACCGTGACACCTAGTCAGGGAGGGAGGTTGTAGGGGCTTCCTTGGGTGTACCTGGCCCACCATATGTTTAGCTGTCTTACCAGAAAAATATTGACTCAATCATTCTCTATATGAAAAAGGTGCTCAGTTACCCTATACTCAGTCATTTGGGTATTATGAGGGCTTTCTTGGCAAGATTGAAGCTGTGTGTCTCTTCTTAGG